GTGTACTACTCAGCTTCAGGCTGTAAAAATATTACAGAGCTGCTGTCTTGCCAAAAAGACATTGCATCAGTCAACACTGAGATTGCATTTAATATGTGCTAGGTAGTAGACTTGCAGCTCAGAATGCTGTTCTCCTTGATGTTTCATGTGGTGAGATGCATGCCAGGCAGAATATACACATTTCTATAGCCTAATGCTGACAGCTGAAAGAGGGCCTTAAGGCATTGTGCCAGTGACCCCCACCATGAAGAATGAATACAGTGTATCTGAGTGTCCTGCATTGTCTTTTGCCGCACATGGAAGGTGAAAAACCTCATCCCAGCTGCCCACTTCCAGGCTTTTTGATAGTTCTATTTTTTTTTTTTTTTTTTAATGAGACATAAGTTCCCAATTTTTCAATTGCTTGAAGTGCAGGAAAAAAAGAAAAGTTACTTTGTAGATTTTCTTACTTTCATGCTCATGGCAATTACTACCATTATTATTGTTATCCAAAGCAATAGTACCAGGAGCAAGCATTGAGTATAAAACTACAATACTGTAAGAGATGTTTTACACAAAGAGGGGTCTATTTACAATGTTAACTCTCTCAAGCCAGTTATTTTAGTCTGTCATTGTCATTACTGTCCTCCTTTGCAACAAGAAGTGATCCATAAGGCTTGAATTTTTGTTTAGCTGCTTGGTCTCAGTGTTTTGTGCGTTTTTCTGGTGCTACATTTTTTTAGTTGGAGTTCTTTGTCAGCACAGTTGATGCTGTGACTAATTTGGCTAATTCTGGAAGAAAGGATTACGCTTGGGTTTTGCATTGGTATTTTGTAAGAAGTTACAATGAATGAGCAGTCTGGGTTATGCAGACAGTTGAGTGGGATGGTACCTTCTGGCCTTCAAATCAATGGGATGTATGATTCAGGCCTAACTTCTGAGCCAGTCGGTAATGTCTTCGAGATGATTTTGCATGCAGAGCACTCCATACAATGCTCATGAATGTGCCTTGGATAAATGGGAAAGCGACTAGTGGGGCTTTCACACAGGGGCATACAGATGCTATTAGGACACTGTAGTATTGCCAAGTTTCTCTGATTTAGCCAGATCTCACTACAGTTGACATTTTCTCAGAAGTATCATATTGTTTTAAAGAAGTCATGTTTATTATTTTGGGGAAAAACAAATAATGAAATGAGAACAAAACCAATCAACCAAACAAACAAAAAGGTTTTCTCAGAATCTACAAGTAACAGACTTGGATTAATTAAACACAAAATGGGGGATTCTGAGCAACAAATTGTGCCCACAAGTGCCTGCAGCCCAGACAATGTGCTGGGCCAGTGCCTGAAAGTGACACAGTCCTGCAGTCTGGTTTGTATGGTGACACAACCCTGCTGCCTATTTTGGATGACCTGATTTAATTGCGCCAGCAGAGAGAAATGCAGAAAAGGAAGCATGCTTCAGAAAGAGTGACAGACCCATTCAACTGTTACAATGCCCTCTCTCCTGATAATCAGAGCTGCTATTAATTGTAGAGATAAGAACATATTTTTTGCCTAACCTTACATTGTCATTCAGCTAAATGTGTTGCCTTGAGGGCAGCGTGTTTCTGTACAATTTCTGGTAAACAATATAGGGATATTCATGGTCTGGAGAAGATGACTCACAGAATCATTAAGGTTGGAAAAGACCTCTAAGATCACCCAGTCCAACCACCAACCCACCCCCACCATGCCCACTGCCCACATCCCTCAGTGCCACATCCACACGGCTCCTGAACACCTCCAGGGACGGTGACTGCACCACCTCCCTGGGCAGCCTGTGCCACTGCATCACTGTGCCTGCTGAAAAGAATTTTTTTCTAATATACAGCCTGAAGTTGTGCACCGGGGTGGTTTTGAGTCCATACTGCCCATAGACTGGAAACTGCTGCCTTCTGTGTAGGCAGCAGCCTCCAAGAGAGCACTGTGCCTTGTCCAGTACAGTCTTCCAGGTGGGCACAGGGTAGGCAGAGCCCTGGGACAGGTAGGAGTGCCAGCATCAGGAGTGGAAAGAAGCTTGAGACTTGCAGGTAAGAAGCAGGAGGAAATTGTGACTGGGGTCAAAGCCCTGCCCAGTGTGGGCTGCACAGTCTACACCACTCTTGAAAAAGGGCTAACCTCTTGACTTTTGCCTACGTAGTTTGTGTGTATAGTAACTAAAAAAAAATGAGATGTACATGGTCAGCCATGTGAGACAAGTGGTTCGGATAGTAGTACGTCACTACTTCTCTTATCAGAGGTTAGCAGCCAATTTCCATTGCTATATTTATCCTTTATTGTGTGCAAATAGTATCCTTCATTGTGCGAGTGTCACTTTAAATGCCACTTGGAAGGCCATAGAGCGTGATGTCTTATTTTCACCAGTCCAACTAACACTAATTTTACAAGCGAGCCATATTGCTTATTCAGAATGAGAACATGTTTTTTAAAAAGGCATTTTTTTTTTAGAATTGAATAGTTGCAGTTGTTGGAGAAAGGTGCTTAGATACTGGATTAGGAATTTGCAAGATCAAAGTAGCAGTTAAGATGCCAGGGAACTCATCCAAATCACAACATAGCTGATATTCTTTAGGGAATACTGGGCTGTTTTGTAAACGGTACTCTTGGTTCCCCGTAACTTAAAACCTGAAGAATCGAAATGATTACAAATATCAGGCGAAATCTTTCAAGGTGTTGAGTGCCCACTACTCACATTGGGCTGAATGCTCTTTTACACTGTGGCCCTTTATGCTACAAAGGCAATGCGAAAGGCCCTTGGCGGCAGCAAATGCCACAGGAGGCCCCTTTGCGGTATCAGAGCGTAGCGGAGTAGGTTGGGTGCAGCCGGGCATTGGGCCCATTTTCTTGGCGGTACTCAGCACCTCTCAGGAGCAGGCTGACACAGGAGTGGTTCTGGCAGGAAAGCTCAACTATTTGTGATCTCAGTTACACAGGAAAATGTAGGGGATGGATTCTGCTTTCTTTTTTTCTTTTTTCTTTTACTTTTTTTAACCTGTGTGAAGCCACAGGGCTGGTCTCCTTGAGATCTAGGCTGCAAATACAGGTCATGAAATGTTCTCCGTCCTGATGGCGATGCCAGCACTCTGAGGCCAGTGAGGTGCAGAGCTCACCTACGTCTTTGCTGCAGTGGCAGATGCATCCAGTGACTCTTAATCTCTCTAGGGCTATAGAGGGGGCATGGCAAAGGCAATAGTGGAGCAGGCTTCGTTCTTTAAACTTGACATCCAGCTTCAGCAGGTGATAAAAACACCAGAGGACTGGAATATCTTTCTCTCATCATTTTTGTCATTTACTTGGAATACTTGGATTTCAGTTTCAAAGCATCTTCCTTTCCTTCCTTCCTTCCTTCCGTCCTTCCTTACTTCCGTCCTTCCTTCCTTCCCTCCCTTCCTCCCTCCCACTCACTCTTTCTCTCTCGAAGGCTTAAAAAGGCAGCAAATATGAAAATTAAATAGCATGAACAAACTCTTATTTCTTCTAGGAAACTGGTTTTATTTTTTTTTTTTACCATTCAAAACAATTGTGGTTCTCTTTCTGATTCAGCCGCAAAAAAAAAAAAGAAAAAGAAAAAGAAAATATACATAGTTTTTCTCCATTGTACTTAATAGTAATAATATTGTTATCATCACAGTGGGATAAGCAGGATTTCTGAGGAGATAATACTTGTTTTGCCTTTGATTAGACCAACCTCACATTTGGAAAAGAGACAAGGATGGGAAAAATACAATTTTGAAAATTAAAAAGATGTTTATGTAATCATGGTCACAGTATTAAAATTCCTACAAGCCCTTTTCATAACAAATAAACAAGAAGCTCTTAGTACTTTCTCATTACTCAATAGATTGGGTTTAGGAATTTTATTTGTTGTTTTGTTTTATTGAGTTGCTGTTGTTGTTTTGCTCTAAATGTGGATGAACTTGGTGTTATATGTTCCATATATTGAGAAGTCGGGTATTGGGTCTAATTTCCATGTGTTTATTGATGAGGAGTGGGAAAGATAATATTTCATGTCTTTTCTCTCTCTTGTCCCTCACCTCTTCCTTCATTTCACCCACAAATATTCTCTGAGTAAAGACAGACTTCAGTCAAGTGCAGCAGTTCATTATGTATACTTATATATATATTACTTGTCAAAACTTCATAAGTGTAGGCGAGGAAAGTCTTTGAATTGAGTTACCCCAGTAGTTTCACATCACAGTGGCTAATTTGTAATGGTCAAAGGTAGCAGCCTGCATGTTTCCATGGAGGTTTTCTGCCCAAGAACAGAGAGAAGGGCACCAGGACATGAATTTTATAAATACTTGTGGTGATAAGACAAATCTTGGCTTACAATGCCCACTCGATGAAATACAAATCAGAAGAACAGCTTTCATTAGCTGTTTCATTAGTTGCTCATGGGATTACTTATTAGAAGATGCAAACAGATGGTACAGCTGCATGCAGACCCTACCTCTCCCTCTCCTGGTAACACTGATACTCTCTGGTAAATACAAAATTCTGCATACAGTGCTTTTGGGTTTCTGTCCAGCAGCTTTCATGTCCAGCACTTATGAACAACCTTTCCTCTCAATTGTCTTAGCACCTGGCTTGGTGGCCCCAAAGGGAGTCACCTCCCTTGTCATTTGTGCATAACACAGTTGCGAGCAAGCCTCAAAGTGCAGAGTGCTGGCTTAAGCCAAGATATAACAGATATGACCGAGGAGGGCCTGAGCCATCCTTGTTGCCTGTGAAATGGCATCTCCAATTGCTGTGCCACTGTGGGGGTACTGATGCAGCCCTGAGACAGTGCCACAGCGTCCTGCTGTTCTCCAGACTTGGGTGTTACTGGCATGTAAAGACTGACCCAAGCTGTGGCAGTGGGCCATATGTTTAACCTTGATTATAGTGCCCTTTTCCAGAGACTGATTGTGGTTTTCATATTATCTAACAAGCTTGTCATTTCCTGTACTAGTTGTAACACAGCTGAATATTTTCTAGGTTACCTAACCAAACTTCTTCGAAATCATACTGCTTATGCCTGCGATGGGGAACGTTTGAGTCTGCACTGTCCTCGGCATTCAACAATAAGTATTCAGTCAGCACTTTACGGGCAAGACTACCAAATGTGTGGCACACAACAGCTTGAAGCCAGAATGACAGAACCCACAAACTGTGTGGCACCCACCTCCTTGCAGGTATCACATCTTGTAAAGGTTCATCATGCACAGCATGTCTGTAGACTTCCGTGCAGTGAGCTATGCTGTAGGAAAATTGCAAGTGTTCACCACGTTGAATGAAATGTCACTGTGTTTTTGTCAGTGTGTCACAAAAAGTATTGCACCTGAAAGGATTCGTCTGGTCAGCAAGGTATTACCATAGGACTGTGAAAGCTGTGTAGATTTCCCTCCATTTTGATAAACCTTACTTTTAAAACCACATTCTCAATGTTCCCTAAAGTAATCAATTCCCTTCTAATCAAGTATCTGTCATAGAATCATAGAATCATGGAATCACTAAAGTTGGAAAAGACCCAAAGGATCATCCAGTCCAACCATTCACCTATCACCAGTGGTTCTCACTAAACCATGTCCCTCGACACAACATCCAAACTGTCATGCCTCACTAGACCAGCCTTAATCTATCACGTGGGCTTTCCTTATCCCCAGCAGAGGATGCAAATTTTCAACACAGCTGGGTTACAAATCCATTGAGTTAGTTGACATCTTGGTAGGAGTTTGGTTTGTTCCATGCTGTTGTCTCTGAAAGGGCTGTGGCAGCTAAACAGCAGATTCTAAGCACTTCTGTGGCTACCTGCATTTCAAAAAATACACGATTTGTATCAAGAACGTCCTATATTTTGTTTCCCAAGTCCACTTAAACATAATTTAAAATGACTTACATTTCATACATTATTGCTTTCTGCAATGGAGACTTCTAACGGGTCTTAGAAGGCCTGGCTTACACTGCTGTTAAAGGCTTGTTCCATCATAGTGGAAATAGTACTGTTAAACCTAATTCAGTAAATCATTGGAAAAAATGTGTAGTCAGTGGAATCTAAACATGTTCTGTCAGTGAAGCTGTTGTAAGTGCTTTACAGAAGCTTTGATGAAGCTTGCAGTGTTTGTGCTTATAGCTGACACGTCACTCTTTGACAACAGGGAACATCTGTTTCTAACACTAGTGAGCTGAAGAGTTTTACGGAGTTGTTTGGCAGTAACATCTCTCCAGAAACATTATTAGGCCCATAGTTTATATGTGTGGCTTGCCCATGCTGTACTGCAACTGCTAAAGACATTCCAGCCTTGACCTGTGGGCCATGTGAAAGTACAGCTCTCCACTAAAAACAGTAAGCCAGATGCATCCTTGATGTCATTTTACTGATTCCTGTGAGGCAACACCAATGATTATTTTGGGTTTGTGATGTTGAGCATCTTTGTGAGGTCTCCTTTTGCAGTGTTTTTTTTTTTTTTTTTTCCCTTGCATATAATAAACACAGCGTGGGACAACTGTTGTATAAACTGTCATCATTGTTTGGGCACTGTCACTGATCAAAGACATGAAATCACTCTGACAGGGCCACAAATGTGAGACAGGCAATTGCTCTGCATCTTAGGGAGTTCCGGTTCTGTCAAGGAGAAAAGTGATATCCTGTAAACTGATTTCTTAGAGAAAAAGCAACAGTGATCTCATCCCTCCTCCCCTTCCCTTTGGAACTACATCTGCAGTCTGCATAAATAGGCGTGATGCTACCCTACAGCCCTGAGGATGTGTAACAGGCATTTTGTCTGGGGACCTCCTATTAAAAGGATTACTGCAAAATTTGATCTGTCCTGAGATGTTAATAACCCTAGGCTGTCTTGTTATGATTATCATTGTTTGCTTTCATAGTTGCATGTTTTTGTGCAGCAGCTTGATAGAAAATGTGACTACTCTTTGCCTTAAGCAAGAGAAAATACAAACAGATGACAGGAGATGATTCAGCTCGGGTGCAAGAAGATGACTCAGTAGGGGACAGCCATCTTCATTTACTGAAGTCGTAACTCTATTTCACTGTCCTGCTCCAGAACAATCCTAATTAAGGAGGAGCTGTTTGTGTAACTTGCAACTCTTTAAAAGAATAGTTGAGTGATAAAATTAAATCTGCTGGGCTTTTCCTTCCCTTTTAAAATCTACAGTGTGCACTTAATGCTGGAAAAGTATTGGATGCACACTGTCTTCTTCTACACAGGGAAACAAAAAGACAAGAGTGTTACAGGATCACTGCAATATGCTGCCAATGTGTATCATTTCTGTTTGGGAAGGATGGCTTCCAGGGATGGCAGGAGAAGCTCAGCCACTGCCAATTCTCAGAGCCTGGAAACAAGAGTGCAGCTTGTGCTAATCTCAGTGGTGAATTTGTGATTTGGCATCTTGGTATGACTCAGAGCCCTTCTGATGAGAAACAGGACAAAAAAAATTCTATAGATTTTATGAAAGTACCTAAAACAATCTTAGAATTATATATTACAATTACTCCTATTTAGAGCTGAGTGACATAAAGATAATGCCCTCTTTAGTGCGTTGTGCTTTTATGTCAAGAATCAGGGGAACAGCAATCAGAGAATCATAGAATGGCTTGAGTTGGAAGGAACCTTAAATATTATCTAGTTCCAACTCCCCTACTATGGGAAACAGTATATAGAAAGCCTCTGATCTGGGCTCTGGAGATGAATAGGAATAAGTATACTGCTGCATTTTAACTATTTTTTTTAGATGCTTTGGGGTGTGACTGGGTTAAAGCTGATCTCAGAGTCATCTTGGACGGCATCTTCATGTTTTCTTTCACCATCACTGCTACAGGTCTGAAAGCACTGATAAGTGGTTTCTGAAACTATTTGAATGCATAATCTTTTAACTAAGCCTAGAGAAGGTCCACAAGACTCTCTGTGTGTAACAGTGGTGACCTTCCTGTTGTCCTCCTTCAGTTGCCACTCTCAATAAAACAGCACAGTAAGAACCATGGTTTATTACTATGCCAAAAGATCTAACGTAGATTTGACTTTAAAATGACATTAAAAAAAAAAAAAAAAGAAGAAGAAGAAAAAAAAGAAAAGAAAAAAACAAGTTAAGGGTAGACTTACACGTGTTCTTGGCTCTGTGCATAGTCCCAAGTATCAGTAGGCTGTGGTGGCGTGCAGCAGGGTCTTGTGGACTGTCTGGGATCAGAGAGAAGAGTAACTAGCAACAGTGAATTGATAGCATCCTCAGTTGCCACTGATAATGCAGCTATGAATGTGTTACCATAAGCTTGGCTGTGGCTCAAAAGCCATAGGAGATGTGGCCTAAATCCAGGGATACAGATGTGTTACATGCTTATGGCCAGAAAGCTGTGAAGGAAGTTTGTCTCCTGTATATAACAAAGTACAGCTAAATGTTGTCATTGCTGTATAGCTTCATACCTTGTTTTCAAGACTATCCCTTTTGCCTGTTGTTCTAGAAAGTACTGGATGAATGCCAAAACCTGAGATCCTGCCAACTTCTTGTCAATAGTCGGGTTTTTGGACCTGATCTATGTCCAGGGACCACTAAATTCCTCCTTGTCTCCTTTAAATGCAAACCTAGTAAGTAATTCACAAGAGAAAAATGTGCTTTTGTCTGTTTTATTTTTTTTTGTTTTGGTTAGAATGCCACTGCACAAAGCTTTATATAAATCCATGTTGAGTTTTGAGACTTTTAGATTAATAACAAGTTGCTTTTTTTCTACCCTGCCTTGGCTCTCTGCTGTGCTTACAACTTCACTGTGCTTGCTGCCAATTTAGTGACCAGTGTAGTTTGTCAGAACCAGATGTCAGACGTCAGACTCTAAAGGAAAAATGTTTTGGAAATTATTTTTAAAGCGATGACAATGATAATGTCTTATTAGAAATACAGAGCTGAACAGCAAAAGCAGATGTCTGGATCCAAATGATGAAGAAGATATCGTAAGAAGAAGTATGCAAAAATGCTTAAGAAGTAGGACCAAAGTTTTCAAAGATCCTCTGTTATTACCTACCATTTATAGACTAGCGACTGGAGGATACACGTGTGTGGCTGAATTTATTATAGAATTACCTGTATCCTAAACAGGTAATTGACACTGGCATGGAAAAGGGGCAAATCCTGCCCCAAAGAGAACCATCTTTGCAAACATGAGAAAAGCGTCAAAAAAGTTAATCATTATAAAGTTTCATTTATTTTTTTGTTTTCTTTCAATTGTTTTTCTTGTTGCTGTTATGTATGAGAACAAGCCCTGGTTGCCCAGGGGCTCAGCTGTTTCTGTCAGCTAATTTCCAGTGTGGCTGAAGTGGATCCCAAAGAAAATACTTGAGGGAGTTTATGGTAGAGGTTTATGGGTAGGTTCACCAGCCAACACAGGATACCATCCCGCAGCTAAAGGAGAAAACATGAAAGAGATTTTCTTTAATCACAGCATCAGGATAGGCTTCACTGGTGGAATAGGAATAAATGTGGCACAGCAAGCTGCGTACAAAGTATGCAGCAGAGAACTGGAGAGCAAAGATGGAAAGGAATAGACAGTTTTCACCTTTGGCAAAGCACTGACAAAAGAAATGGCAGAGAGACTTACTGGGCCAATTATCTAAGACTGTCTGGAATTTATCATTTTTGTGATCTGTTTTATTACCTATTACTAATATTTCTATTTTTTCATATACTACGATTACTACATTACTAATAAATACAGTAAGTAAAATTGAATATAGCAATTGTGACTGTTTTCATTAGAAATCTCCTTCTACTAATGAAAAGTGGATCCTCTTTTTAATTTTTAATTATTATTTTAATATTTTAGATATTTTTCCCACTGGAAATAAGTTACTTTGAGCACATAACACTGACTGTCTGTGGTACAAATATTACAAAAGCTGGTCAAAAGTGTATTTAGCTTTCAGAACAGAAGAGAGTCCAGTTCCAGTGCAAACTACATTATTTAGTTCAGCAGGAAATTTATATTTGTAGATGAGATACCAATATTGTTAAACTTGGCTGGAAAAGATCCCTATTCAGGAAATCGCTCGGGTATAATTTTAAGCATATGTTGCAGACTCCTTGCCCTCAAGTGAGCGCTGAAGTGATTACCCAAATTCCTTAGTTTTTCATCTCCTTGGAAATGTTGCCCTCCCCTCTGCATCTCTGCAGAGATGTCTGTTGTATGCCAACCCTTGCTGTGTCTCATTAAGCCTGTGGGTCTGTCCTGCATCCCCTCCTGCACAGCCTCACAGAGGCAGAGCCCAACTTCAGGTTGCCAGCCTTGGGGTCAGAGCCGCCATTTTGTGGGTACGACCCCCATGGCAGTACAGTATGGCATCTGGGAGGGACTTTAAAGAGCAGCAAGCAAGAAAATTAACCCTTAAAAAAAAAAAAAAAAAATCTAAATGGAACAGTGTTTCCTTTATTGAATAGATAGGAGTTTTTCTCTCTGGATCCCCCAGCACTTACACCCACACTCTGCTCCCTCAGTAACAATAAGATTTCCCTTTGCTCCTGCTTGGCTCAAGAACCTCCTTTCCTGTTTTCACATGATTGAGAGACAAAAAAAATGGAGCAGAACGAACTCTTCTCCCTGGCCTCAACTGCACGAAGTTTGGCACTGTAGCCAGGCCAGGGATGCCTGAGCAGCGGTAGGCCACAGGCAGATAACTGCTTAGGCTGCATCTGATCAGATGGCAGAACCCAGCTTAGGTTTGTGCCTGGGTGGGGTCGGCCACACTGTCATCCCTCTCAGTGTGGGGAGCTCTGCCAGCCTGCCCGTGCCCCCTGAGAGAGGGAGGGCTGTGTTTTTCTCAGGCTCCTGATCCACACCGCTTTGTCAGCAAAACTTTCAAAGGAGCCTTGCCGGGTGGTCACACCCAGGGAAACCCACTGACTGGTGGAGCGATGCAAATAGAGCTGAGAGCACTGCCTGGCTCAGGGCTCACAGCCCGTCCTCCATTCTTCGGCACTCGCTCAGTGCCGCGTGCTGTGCCGCCAGCGATGCCAGCCGCCTCCGTGATTGATGAGGCCGCAGCGTTTGGAATGGGCACAGAATGCGACATTGTCCTGGGGAGGTACAAAAGGAAAGGATAAGGTTTGTCCTCCCGAACAGTAGTGGAAAGCAGGCCAGAAAAGCAGGCAGGAATGGGGGCGGACGTTCCAGTGGGAGAGGAGGTTGGCAAAAGTTAGTATTTCAGTTCATTTTTAAAAAGGGCTGGAAGCTTCAGACAGTCATAAGGGAACAATTTAGTTGGAGGAAATGCTCCACTTTGCTATTGGCTTTGTCTGTGGTTGTAATTGTTCCACGTATCACTCAAAACACAACTTGCAGAAAAGCTGTTTTCTGTCATGCTGCTATTTGCTGTTAACAGTCTAGCTGAGAAACTTGCCTCATGCTACTGTATTGTTTTTTGCTTCTATTTCAGCTGAATACAAAACCAAATCAGCCTGTGAAAACCAGGAACTGAAACTCCACTGTCAAGAGTCCAAGTTCCTTATTATCTACTCTGCCACCTACGGCAGTTGGGCACACAAGGACAACATCTGCTCAGCCCAGGCAGAACGCGTCCCTCAGTTTGGTAAGTTAGTGTGCTCTCAATAGACCTTCTCCATGTGAGTGCACAGGAAAGGGGGGCATGGGTAGAGAGAAAAGGTCAGGCACGAGAGCAGTGGCATTTTGGAAGTGTTCGTGGTTGAAGCATGAGAGATTATTTCTGAAACTCAAACAAACTGCCTAGCACAAGGGAGTAAGAAATGTAAGCAAAGTAATAGCCCTTGATGTAGTTAATAATTTTTACTATGATTACCACCAAATACTCTTCCTATTGGTTCTCTTGAACTTAAGTGACTGTATTCAATATCAGCTGCTGGCTCTCATCTTCCTCCAATGTCTGACAAAGACCAGGCAACATGAGTGTCATGCCACCTTGTCTTTCTGATGTCTTTCACACTGATCTCTCCTTGCCTTAAGTGCAGACGGTCAGGATGAGGTCTGCAGGTCAGGACCTACTGCTTTGGATACAGTTGTATGACCCAACTCCAGGACTGTGGTAGCGTGCTAGTAAATCAGATCCACCTGGGGCTTCTCTCTGGCAGGAGCCCAGAAAACAGGAAGTGATGTGTGTATGTAGCACCTAGCTCTCACCCCCATAGCAGGATGGCTGCATGCAGTCTGACTCCTGGGACTGCTCACCAGCCTTGATTGTGATGGGAGCTGTTGGTACTGGCCAGAAAAGTGCAGGGTCCGCAGATATCAGCACAGAGAACTGTATTAGTGTTAGAAATGTTTCCCTGTCACTGCCGATTTACTACAGGTGCATCTCAAGGGATGTGAATATTAATGTTGCTATATTAACATATCTAGCCAATATAGTAATGTTGCTGTAGTATTAGCACCTTGGTGACAGACTATGAGCATTATCAAACTCACACTGTTCCCCTTCAAACAGGTAGAAGAACCCAAAACTTCATCAGTAGTTTACGGTCAACATCAATTACCAATCACTGACTTCAAAGTCTCAACTGGTGCAAGACTGATAGCTCAGTTTTTATCATTAGGTACCTAATTACATATTTTATATCTTTGTGAGGATGCTTGTATGAATAATGTATTCAATCCCAGACACCAAAAGCATGGAGGTGTGTTTTCATGCTGTGGAGAAGGCCAGTGTAGGATCTGCATGCTGCTTACCTCCCTTCACACCACACAGGGAAGGACTTAGATGGCTGACACCAGTCCTGTGCAAAGCCTGAACTTTACTCACTTCTGAGAAACTACTACAAGTGAAATCTATAATCTGAATTGCATCTCTGAACAAGAGAGATCAATAACTAGTCTTAAAAGCAATTTGTCTGCAAGCCAGTATTTCTATTTCGTTTTATAAGTATTAAAAATGTATTGGCTGAAAAATGTATTCTGTTCTTTTGCAAGAATCTGCTTAAAACTGCCAGGTCTGTATTTCACACTGGCTATTCTAACACAAACTTTAGCTGTGTATTTGTTATACAAAGGAAATATTTTAGCAGGTTTCTGAAGAACCCATACATTCTCTGTGATGATGGCCTTAATGTATGACTCCAAGCAGAGCAGAAAGAGCTCAGTTGATCAAGAAAGACCATCATACTTGCTTACTTCTTCTATTTCTTTCACCTGTGGAAATTGCTTACTTTCCTATAGTGTCCCATAGTACTGATATTCCACAGATCATAATACTGCAAACTCTTCTTTCTGGATAAAGTCTCCCAGTGTAAACAGACGAGGAATTTGCAAGAAAGCAAAATCTGTGCTGTGACTGCCTGCATAAAGGCACTTTCTGGCTGTTGCTTTTCTTGTGTTCTGCAAAGCAACCTAAAACTGGCAGTAGGAGAGAACATAAAACTTGAGACAAACACAAGGCAGAAGGTAGACCCTGATGAAGCAGTTGGCCTCTTCATGCGTAGTGCCAGTAACACCCTACAGTGAGTATAATTTTCCAAAGCACTTATGTGCTTAGGAGTATACATTCAGTTATCCCAAGGGACTTAGCACTTAGGAACAAAATCCAATTGACTCCAGTTCTATCCATCTGGAGCTTAAATCTTACTCATGTGGTTATTCAAACACATACAGATGTCAGTGCATGTATAATTAGACTATTTAAGTGCCAGTATACTTTTTCTCTGAGAAGGCAGTGGTAGTTTGAATGTCAACATCATTTCAACGATTTGAGGCAATTTAGAAAGTGTAGTGCAGCTGTTCTTTATTCCAGAATCAGAGCCCCTATATGTTTGCACCAAAAGCTAAGTCAGCTCCAGCTCAAACTCATGTTTGCGCATCTTAGCTTAAAGGCAGTGATCAAGCCCTACCATTTCTTCCACTGTATCACAGGAAAGCTGTGTGACATTTTTTTTAGTACTATGTAAATGAGAAGTTGTCTGTAGTTTCTGATGACATAGTATCATGGAATCATAGAATCACAAGGTTGGAAACGACCTATAAGATCATCTAGTCCAACCGTCTTCATATTACCACTGCTACCACAAAGCTACTAAACCAGATCTTGCAGCTCCTCATCCAGACGCCGCTTGAACACTGCCAGGGACAGCAACTCCACCACCTCCCTTGGCAGCCATTCCAGTGCCTGACCACTCTCTGAGAGAAAAAGTTCTTCCTTAAGTCTAACCTAAACCTCCTCTGGTACAACTGTATATGTATAGGAAGTCTCTGTTGAGCTCAGAGTTTTGCTTTTATTCATACTGGGTTTGCTCCTTCTAGAAGTACTGGATGTTGAATTAATTAGATACTTCTCTAGGTTTTGGCCACCTCACATTATGTCATTGTGGCTGATAAGCCATTACTGGCAAGCAGCAGCACTGAGCTGGGACAGATGTATTCTGAATTATCAGTTCACTTTTCTGTGAACAGTGTATCAAATCAGCTGTCAGACTTACACAGCTGTGCTTGAAATGAAACACAGGAAAATGTAAAATTTCTTTAGCATAAGGATTCTTCTCCATATGGTACACAGTATATAAATCTGTTGCTTTATCAACAACATCTGCATGGCCTCAGAGCATTTGTGGGACCCTGAGCCCCAGGTCAGCATCCAGCATGGCTGCCACAATCAAAAACTTTACAGGAAAGCTAAGATTTGTTTGGATGCAGTTCTGCTTAACAGAATCTATTTTGCTCAGCAGATCTCCAGCAAAGTAGGAGCCTGTAGCATTTGTTTCCCCTGTCAGTTTTTTCAGACATCCTCTGTCTTTCACATTTGTACTAACATGTGCATGAGGAAAGACAAAATTTATTGGCCAAATGAAGTGAGAATTGTGCCAAAACAGGTTACAATAGAGAGTATGAGGAAGATTCAGATCAACAAACACCTCTCAAATCATAGGTTAGTCTTGTTAATACTTGAAAGAAGGCTTGGTAGTAGGTAGCCTCTTGCTGCAGCTTGCAAGCCAGAAAAATGTATTTACCAGAAATGTTACCTGGATGTGCACTGACTGGTCAGAAGTGTGCTTCCTCAAGCACTAATGACAAACAGAACCCAGAACTGCTTATCTGTATTAAGGAAAGGTAGGGTCCTTCCTGGCACAACCCTCATTTTAACCTTTTCCCATTTTGTGGAGCTTAAAGGAGTGCATTGTGTGACAAATTCAGGCACTCACATGCCATAGCTTACACCATGGCATAACGTACCCTGGGGCTAGATTTTGTCTAATCCCCTCTTCCCATTGAAATAATATTCAGGCAAGAAAAGGGGGTATTAACAGGAAACAGAGTCTTCCAGAATCCTGTAGATGCCTTCTAGCTAGCAAGGTATTAAGTTATATAAGGGTATTTTGTGATGTCATGATTCCTTTTATTTGTTTTATTTATTTATTTATTTATTTATTTTAATATTGTGGACAATTTATCTCTTATTCAGCAACTGTGACTGAAAAGCTTTTGGCTCCTTCTCATATCAGGAGATGTATACTCTTCCTGCTATGAGCCAGTTCCTTGTGTAAGTCTCTGCAGAGCAGCTGTAAATGAAGTAAAAGTACAAATAGAGGCAGGCAGATCTGGAAACACACACCAAAGTAACTAGGTTCATGCTAGCTGTACATTTCTAGGTGCCATAAATCACAAACCATGTAAACTGGCTGGAATTTGGGAAACATCGGCCACTGAAATACTGACACTTGAAGGGGCACTTAGTAGATCAGCAGGAACTCTGAGTCCAGTGCTTTGCTGGAGGAAGGAGTGAGGACTTCTAGCTGAAAGCTGCTGAAAACAACATGACTGAGTCCTTTCTAGACTGCAAGTACCATCAGCTGTAGGCCTGGGTATACTCTGCTATTCCTATGCCTCACGTGCATAGCTTATATTACTAGCAAATTAGAAGTTCATTTCAGACACAAACCCTGTGGATAGTCATACAAGAGGCAGGCTCCAGAGTAGAAGAAATCTGAGACTGCAGAACAATTATTTTGGTAACATAGCATACAACCTCTTATGGAGGCTCATGGTGAAAGGGCAAATATGTCCCTGCTGTGCTCCAGGGGACAAGGCAGCAGGATGCTGTGAGCAGAATAGATGCAGAGGCATGATTCTGTAGCAGTGCCAGGGCTCAGGGACATGAGGAAGGTTAACATCTCCCTCTGCAGCTTCTGCCACTGCTGTCTTGTCACATGTGGGAGAGAGCACTTCATCCATTAGTGTTTTCTTCACTGGCAGTTACAGGGTTTTCTTGTACCTAGGTTCTTCTAGCTTAGATTTTTGAATAGTTGGAAAAGTATACTTACACTCAAGTTTAAAATAAGGTAACAAACCAAATTGTGTAAAAACAAATCTGTAGGCTTTTGAGCAGAAGGAGCTCAGTTCCTGCTTCCATCCAAGTAGTGTAGACCTCCACTTGTATCCTCTACTTGGCATCTGTGCTGGCCCTCACTCCATGCCTATGTGTGTGCAAGGAGAGGAAAACTGCACCAAGTGCTTAGAGGCTGAATTCTGAACTCCAAGCAACTTGTAAATAACACCAAATAATGGGCTAATCTCCTGCAGGCTAAAGGAGCCTCCAGCAGGCACATGAGCTGCTGCTGTGTGACATGGAAGAGAGATGGTGCAGCTTTGCAGAATGCCATGGTACGGTATTCACTCATAAGGAATGGCCTGTTCTGACAATAAGTATTTTTAGCATAGCATACTGGCAGATCTTGGACCTGGAATATAAAGATACCAGCACCATTTCTCATAAATGTTTTCGCTAGAATCAGCAGCACAAATGGCCCTTTTCTGATGCACAGGCAGGACCCTGCGTGCCATGCTTTTGCATAAATTACCATATTATTATGGAAACTTTCTTTAGGAGTATGCAGCCCTAGCTTGGTCCGGAACTCCACAGTTTCCCTTTGTCACTTCTTGTTCTCAGAGCTGATATCTGGGCTCTACAAAGCACAAGCCATGCTGATTTGATAGTGTGAAATCTTTGCTTTCAATTGATTTTAAAAGCATGCTCCTTATTCTTTTGTGGGTAGACATGGCCCAGAAAACATAAAGCACTGTAAGCCAGCCAGCAGTTTGGGATGAAAGCAGTGAGCAGCTGGACTCTAGCACCATAGTGAAAAAATTGAGATGGGGTTCCTCTTATGGGAGCCCTGGTCCTTCATCAGCATGTTACTTTTGATGTAATATGGATCTGCGTTTGAGACACATTGCTCACTCACAATGTCTTGTGCCCTGTGCATAACAATGCAGGAGAAAACAGCAGCCAGTCAGAGAATAGCAGAGGGTGTGAGCTGAGGCTGTTGGCAGTGCTTGGCACAAAACTCTCTGGCCAGCTCTGGCTGTTCCATCACCTGCAGCTCTTGTGTGGCAAGAGGCAAAGAAAGGAAGGGAAAGCTCCTACGGTCTGAATTGAGAGAAGCTTTGAAGAATCGGAAAACAAATTGCTACTCATTAAAGCCTGCGTGATTTATGGCATGTCATTTGCATGCCAAAACTTTCCTAAACAAAGCTAATTAAGGAGCTGAAAGAGCCTTGCCTCCAGAAACAAGGCTTTCTGCTCTAACTGTTAAATAGCTGCAGTCAGGTTTGATAGTTTACCACTGTGTTAAGAGCCTCTGCTCCATGCCCATATTTCCATGCCACCCATAGAAGCGTGCGTTTCAAGGGACTCACCAGCACTCACAGTGTGCAACAGGCAGCTCTGACAGAAGGGAATGAAAAATGAGTGTTTTCCCAGCCATCCAGAGCTGCCCTTTCTGCCACTGCTGGGGGTGTCACCAACCTTCTGGCGTTTTGAGAAAGTGCTTTTCAAGAGGCAGTTTATTTTAAACATCTGGTACCAATTCAGCAAGCCCCATAAAATGTAAGCTTAGTTCAAACAGTACTTAGATGCTCAGGAAGAAGACACAAGAAATGTTTATATTCTCCTAATTTGTGATTTCTTCGGGACTGCTGAGTGGGACTACTCACTCATTTACACAAATTTAAGCATGGACTGAACCTCGTCCTCTTTCAAATGCTACTGTGAGATGTATGACCTGAAGGTTGCCCAAGGAGGCTGTGGATGCTCCATTCCTGGAGGCATTCAAGGCCAGGCTGGATGTGGCTCTGGGCAGCCTGGTCTGCTGGTTGGCGACCCTGCACATAGCAGGGGGGTTGAAAGTAGGTGATCATTGTGGTTCTTTTCAACCCAAGTCATTCTGTGATTCTGTGATTCTATGAAGGAGAAGTTATCCCCAGCATCAGCTCTGTGTTGCTGCAGCTGGTTTGTTATTAGACCCCCAAGCAAGTTTCACTGAAAATAGCTTGGGTGTCTTTTCAGCACACACCGATTCCTCTGACTTCACTGCAGATACACTTCTGTAATGTCTGCTTGTGGGAGATAGTGCAGATGAAGCTGCAGATGATGAAAAAGTGGCCTTTGGTACTGAGTATACAGAATTCCTCTGAGCTGAACTCATGGTTCAGCCTTCACTGAAGCTGCCAGGAACAGCTTGGGGAGGTAGCAAGGACAGACACAGAACTGAGAGAAGGAAACTGAACAGTTTTTGACTGTACTAAATGCCAAAACCTTGCTATACCACAGATAGCTATTAAGTAGTGCTTGGTTTGTTTTGTTTTGTTTTTGTTATGGGTCTCTTCAGTTAACGTTTGTGCTGTCCTGCGGAAGCAAGCCAACCTTAGTTTGTGTTCACACACCTGTGACACCAGCCAAGCCTTGCAGAGCTCTCCAAAAACAGGCCTGCCAGGAGCCTACAGGCACATGACGGTAAAGGAGCCAAAGCCAACATGAATGTAGGTGATAAGGAGTTATTAACTCTCAGAGAACAAGAGCAAACATCTATCAGAGGCAAAATGAAACATGCACTCACTGTATCACTGAATTTGTAGAAAACCATCAGCGCAACAGCTGGCTCTTCCTTAAGACACTGCATGCAGCTCAAAGGGCAGGGGAGTTTGTAGAACATATAATTAACTTTGCCAGATTGCTGTTGTTCTCCCAATCTATTCATCAGTTGGATGTGATGATCCTGAAGCTCACTTCCAACCTAGATGATTCTATGATTTATGAATCATCTGATAGTTCCTCCTGATATTCTCCAGTTGTTTTCATGCTTGCCAAAAGATGCTGCTTAGCTGCCTAAAATGTCCACCTGAACGCATTCTTAGCTGATAGCCAGAAAGACTAAAATAACTGAGTTATTTAAGCAGAGCTATTCAGTGTCTCAAGAAGATTTTCTTGCTCGCTGAACAGCCTTCCAAGTATTAGGTTCTTAGGTCCTGAGAAAGTTGCTCTCCCCTAAAATCTATCTTCAGTGCTGATCCCTGGGCCCTTTGCCAGACAGATCAGCCCAGTATCTCCTCATGTTCTGTTTATGTACGTGACAGCGCTGGTGTCAAGGGATTAACTCTAAAAATCACAGATCTACCCTGAGTACAGATGTTGGAAGTCAATTTTCTTTGCCGAGAACCTCAGTCTCAGCTCTCTTCATTCTTTTTAAACAATACTGATTTGAGGAAGCTATGGAGTGTCTTTGTGAACATTTCTCCTTTCTCTGCAGAGGCACAAACAAGCTGAAGCAGCTGGAAGGTGAAGATACCGTGTTTGTCTCAGGGTTGTTACAGAAGGAAAGATAGTTCTAATGAACAGAGAATATGTAGTCAAATCTATAGAATGTTGCTGCTCAGGGAGACTAGAATGAGAAATATTTGTCATCCATAGAAATCTACCAAAAGTGTGAGGAAACACTGACTAGAAGCAGACAGCTTCAGGAAAACGTTCCTTACTCTAGGCTTTCAATTTCTGCAAACTTTCTGCTTCAAAACCAGAGCCAGAAGATATTCTTGCTCTTTATATTGGGGTTTAGCTGATATGGATACTGAGAATTCAATCACATTTAGAGATGTTCTTTTTCTAAAGCAGAATTTTAGAAGTTTATCTGATACACAAACTTTCCCATTCAAATTTAACTTTGGTGTAAAATCTGCTGACCATGTCTCATTCATTTATAAATCATGGTGGAAGGTGGAAGACTTGAGTGAAAAAATCCCCGTCCCGGCAAATGCAGGCAGGTGCAGCTATGAGCATTAGTACAGTGCACTGTAGGTGCCTTTGACATTGCCTTAGGCATTCAAATTTGGCAGCCTGATGGGAGCAGTGCAGCATTTGATATGGCAGAGAGAAGTCAAATGATTTTCTGGTTAAACATTGAGCCTATTTTGACCTCTTGGCCATAACAGAATGGCTCCTAGCAGCACCAGGCAGAGTAAATCATAAGCTACTCTTGATTTCACCATAGACCTAGCTGTTGCAGTGCACAGAAATTGATCTCACCTAACTTGAACTGAAACTGGGCATCCAGTCAAACCATGGTGATAAACCTGGGAGAGGAGAGGGAGACCTGCAAACAGCACTGCATCGCCCTTTACTGACACATTCATCTTAAGATGGAGCAGGTGAAGCCGGTGGAGAGCTGTGTGAAGATGCTTAGTTCTTCCAGATTATCCTGAAAAGAATGGAGAGGATGTTTGCAAAGCACCTCATTTGAAGTTTGACTTGAATCTTACTGCAACCTTAGTATGCAACTGGAAGTCATCATGAGGGAGCCAATTTGCTACACGTCCTCAATTTCATCACGTGCTGACTTCCTTGCATTCGCAAATGTTAATACTTAATTTTGAAATAGTGCTTAGGCAAACACAGGTGTGTGAAATTGATAGCAGATTTGTATCTCTAGCTGTGCACGTAGCAGTTATTATGCCTGATAACAGCAGAGTTGTATATTTATTGGATGTGCTTTTCTTTCAGACTGCTTGTCTCACACAGCGCTAGAAGTTTTATCAAAGAGGTGTTATGGGAAACAGAGATGCAAAATTATTGTCAGTAGCCAAGATTTTGGAAGTCCGTGTCTACCTGGAGTGGCAAAACACCTGAATGTCAGCTATGCATGTGGTAAGAGCAAATGCATGGTAATTTAAAGCCCTCATTCCCTATAAAAATGTCTTACTGAAATAAGGGCTGAGCTTATGCATCACTCACAGAACTGAAGCAACACAGACGAGAAGGAAGAGTTTCTCATTTTCTTTACCATAGATTAATATATTTGCATTGTGGGAAGGCAGAGTTCCCTGGAGTTCTTTTTTTCAAAAGCCAGAGCCACGAGACAGCAAAGTATAGTACAAATACAGATGAGAGAAAAGTGATTGCGGGACCTAATGCAGTGCCTTATATAGGTGTTGAATCCTCTTAGGAATGTCTTTCTCTGGCTGAGGACTGGAACAGATTTCCTCAGCCTCTGCTTTTGGAGATGAACTGTGACCCTCAGAGGTGGATGTCTGACATGCCGGTGGATGTGTCCAATCAGTTTTACCAAGTTGCTGATCTGCTTGCTGTGCGTAGCCTGGGAAGCTGCTGGCTTCAAGGAGCACTGGCTAATCTGAGTGCTTTTGGGAACAGCCCTGCAGGACTGACTGCCTGATCACTGCCACCTGAGGATCAGAGGAAAGGGAGCCTCCAGCTGTTCCCTTGCTGGCATGAAAGAATTTCTCTTCCAGTCTCGCCATGTGTACGTTGTCAGGCAAGAGCCACTGCAGCAACTCTTCTCTTCTCATTGTTGAAGAGAGCTGGAGCCTGTCTTTGCACTAACAAACACACAGCATTATTGTGTGTTTGCCTTCATGCTGTAGTAACTTTATGAATGTGTTAATGGAATTCTCTTTAATTAGAGTAAGGATAATTACAACAGATTGTTCTTTCTTACACATCCGTATACTAGAAAACAAGCGTATGTTTGTTTGCAGTGAGGTTCTGCATTCTGATTTGTAGTGAATTGTTTTTGCACTAACGCATGGATAATAAATAGTGCCTGTGTGCTTTGCTGGCACGCGTCGAAGACTTTTTCTTCTGCCAGATCCTACTGAGCTGTGCAGTCTGAAACATTAGCCAATGGTTTGCAGGTCTAATTATTTTACAGATCATCTAGGGAACATGGGAAGAGGCTGGGCGTGGTCCAGAATGGCATTTTACATTCTTTCCCCTCACTAGAAGATCCCTGCTAGCCTGACGCTTCCCAGGCTGAGGTAAATGGGCATTTTTCTGAAGTGACAGGGACACAGCTGAGCAGACCCTATTTTCTTAGGGCTGTGACACACTTGAAAGCATGATCAGGAATGTGAAAAACCATACTCCCTATCCCAGAGGTCAGCAGCTAGTTAGTGTCTGCCTGCATTTATATTTTATGGTTAGTACCAACTTAGTGGAAGCCAGGAGATGCTGTTTTTTCACAGCCCCAGTCCCACAACCTCCTCAGCATCACCTGAAGTCTGCAGAGACTATAATCTACCAGCTCCTGCTGAGGCAAGAAGCCAGCCCCAGGAAACACAGCTTCTGCCTGCACGTCTTGGATGTCTCTGGCAGTTTATGGTTGCTTGCTGCCTCCTGCCCTGTGTGGCAAAGCAGAGCTGCACAGAACCTAATGTAGATAAAAAAATCCTTCTGCTGGTATCAGCTAGTCTGTCCAGTGACCTGGGCACACCTCATCTTGGTTAAAGTCCTTATGAATATAGTGTGTCTGAAATGAAACCCCAACAAAAATTAATAGTGCAAGCAGCCAAGAACAGTACAAGCAACTGAGAGCTTTTGTTGCCTGTGACATTCTAAATCAAACATCCCCCTGCAATAGATATTTGCATGAGCAGATGCTGACTTGGCATAGGGTAGGACAACAGAACAAGACAAGGCCACACAGTCTGACACAGCTGGTCCAGGTGTGTGTCCAGCATCAGGACTTTCCTGCCCATCAGAACGTGGCACTCCCAAAGCAGCACTGCAGATCCCTCATGTACTGCTTTCCTGCTACTTTCGTAGCAAACTCTCCCACCTCTCAAGTACGCTGCTCCTAACAGCCAGGTCTCTAATTCAGCACGTGGTCTGAAAGAAAACCAGCCTTGTCCGTCATCAAAAATATTCTGCCTCTGGAGAACAGTTAAGAATAACAATGATGTACAAGCCAAAATAGAAATTAGTTCATTTCTCCCTATCTCTGTTGGCTTTCTATTGCAAACAGGAGCAAAGAATTCTAAAAAAATCCTTCATCAGGAAAGGCAACAGTTATGAATTTGAGCCCACACACACACAGAAGAGTTCTGCTCAGAAAGAAGAGCTATTTTTAGTTGTTTTGAATGTAAAAGTTATGCTAAGCCCCAAACTTCTGTCTCCTCTGTTCCATTTGACTTTCTTTAACACTACTTATTGGCAAATGTTTGTATGTAGGATATAGGTGGGTTTCACACTTGGAATTTCTGTCTTTTTCCCCTTCACATCAGTCTGAAAATCAATCAATCTGCCTTCATACAATACAGAGAACAAGTGCCAAGTTCAGAATCCATGAAGGGCCCATTCATCTTGTGCACAATCTGAGAGCTCTCCATATCTACACGATGTGCTTTCTTTTAGTTCTTTTATTTGTTTTAACAAGAGTGGGAAAACATCCCAAGAGAAAAAAATAAATGAGAAGTACCCAGCAGCACCCTGCCACCTCATCCTGAGCACCTTCCCTCTCTGGGACCATTCACTTCAGAGGCTCTGCAGAGAATGTCAGACAAGTCTTTAAATGTTTCTGGGCCCTTCTGACAGTGAGTTGAGTCTGAATCAGCAACGTGCCAGGGCAGCCGAAGGGGCCAACCATACCCAGAGGTGCACCAGGCCCAGCACTGCTAGCAGGTGAGAGAGTGGGAACAGGCTGCCTGTGGCAGTGGGCACGGCCCCAAGTGCTGGAGTTCAAGGAACATTTGGACCACTTTTTTAGACATAGGGTTTGGATTTTGGCTGGTGCTGTGTGGAGCTTGGAGTTGGATTCAGTGTTCCTAGTTGGTTCCTCCTGCTCAGGATATTCTGTGATTCTGGCTTTTTCCTCTTTTTTCTTTTTCTTCTACAGCCCTTCTGTAGTAGAAGGGCTGTTCCACTCCCATGGGTGTTGGGGATATCAATCCCCATCTGGGACTGCCTCCCCCTGCAAACCCTGAAAAGCCAAGCTGTGCTCAACTCTTGGCAGACGAGTGACCCCAGAGATCCAGGTTTCAGGGTGTTCACCTGTCATGAGGTTAAAATGCAATCATGCGAATGTCAACCAGCAGCTGATGGCGTGGCACATAAGAAAACAGCTGTTGCCAGGGATTCCAGCAGGCACCATTCCTCCAACTGGTGCCAACCTTGCAGGGCATGGCCTGAGGCATCACCATCAGACACCCCATTCATTTAGAACGCAAACACTCCTTGGCTGTGAGGGTGCCGGAGCATTGGCACAGGCTGCCCACAGGCTGTGGAGTCTCCTCCTTGGAGATGTCCAGAAGCCACCTGGACGTGGCCCTGGGCACCCTAGTCTGGGTGTCCCTGCTGGAACAGAGTTTGGGCCAGGTGGATCCAGAGGCCCCGGCAGCCTCAGTCACTCTGTGATCCTGTAATGGGGGAATGGTAATTAACAGGGGATCTGGTTTGCAAAACTGACAGTGCATCATTTGCCTTTTTTCTTTCCAGTTCCTAAATTCATCCTCACAGCTGTCAACCACCTGGTCACTCACAACAATTCTTCCGTGAAGCAGAATGATGGAGAACGTGGTAATTAAAAAAAAATAATAAAAGGTTTATCTTTGATTGCAGTAAGACATTGTGGTACAGCACAGGTGGGGGTAAGGAAGGGGACAGTGGGAGTGCTTCTGGGACAGCTTCTCTCTGCCTTGCGGACACAGCTGTCACAGCAATCAGGAGGAAAGAGCTCACAGGAGGTCCTGCAGTCAGCTGTATGTCCCTTACGCTGCTTCTGAGAAGCTTGCTCCTTCTAAATGCAAATTAAATGAATGATGTGGCCAGTGCGTATTTGCTGTCATCACTGATGAGAGCACTGCAGTGATTGGACTGGGAAGTCTGTTTGGCAGCTGTGAAGTTAATGAAGTAAATTATTTCTGAAAGCTTAATAGGAAGAGACAAGGTGGTTCACGTGGTAATAATTTCTTTTTTAAAATAAGATTTACATGTATTTGATATTTTCAATACCTTCTTAATTATATTTTACTTCAAGATTTATTTTAATATTTATTGTATTTACCAACCATTATTTGGTTTAACAGTCTGCAAGGTTCCTATAGCACAGTGCTGGTTTGCCTGTGTTTTGGACAGACTCATTAGTTCAAAAGGGATAAGGGGGAAATCAATGTGATGGCTTTATCACCTACAATGTGACTGAATTTGTTCTATATCTCCTCTCACTGCAGGTATCGATATCGATCCAAAGGAATCAAGGTCTCCAAAGAAAGATGGCACCATTGTTAGCAACTCCTTGGCTACATTTGCATACATTAGAGGTAGGAAAATGAGGCAGCTTGGTTCATTAGGTGGTGGCATTTTGGAAGGAAGGGGAAAAGGGAAGATGACTTCAGAAGCTCACAGCTGGTAATCCCACATTTATAATAATAGTATTATTACAATATAATTACAGTCCTGTGGATGGGACTATCACAGTGTAACTGACATTTATAGAATATTTTCCATCCTGAAGGATCCAAACTCTTAGGGACTGCAGCCAAGATTTTTTCAATTAATATTTTCAATGGGGGCTGTTGGTTGTTTGGTATTTTTAAAAATCTGGTCCTGATCTGGGAGCAGTGTTGGAGACATCCATTTTTGGAAATGTTGGTTTACATGAGTATAAGGATCACTGAAAAGCAGAAAAGAACCAACCAAAAAAAGAAAGCAGCCATCTCCATTATGGGTCATGACAAGTCCTGTGACTTAGCAATGCTAAGGCAAATTTCATTGAGGCCAGTAAATTCACGGTCACGAGATCTCTGACACCAGGGGAGAAGTCTAATGGATTTCACAAGTAAGCATTAAGAAGCAACTCCAGAATTAAGCTCCTCTAGAAAATGGCAGAACCATGCAGCTGTGGAGTCCCTGCCTCTTCTGTTGCTGTACTGAGATGCTATCTCAGAACATGTTGGAAACCAAAATGTTCCCACTTGCCTGGGCTGGGAATGCTACCATAGCTCCTCAGAGCATGGAGCTGCTCATCCCATAGAATCATAGAATCATTAAGATTGGAAAAGATCTCTAAGATTACCTAGTCCAACCCATTACCACCATGCCACAGCCCACAGCCCTCAGTGCCACATCCACACAGTTCTTGAACACTCCAGGGATGGTGACCCCACCACCTCCCTGGGCAGCCTGTTCACCACTCTTTCTGAGAAGAATATCCAACTTGAACCTCTTCTGACACAACTTAAGGCCGTTCCCTCTCATCCTATCGCTGTTACCTGGGAGGAGGCCAACCCCCACCTCACTGCAACCTCCTCTCAGGTAGTTGTAGAGACTGATGACATCTCCCCTGAGCCTCCTCTTCTCCAGAGTGAAAACCCCCATGTCCCCTCTTTGCGAAGGTAAGACCTGTTTAGTCAGGATGGCTGGAAAAAAAGTGGTGTATTTTTGGTAGGTGATTAAGAATGCTAACAGAATGGTGAGATAATGTTATTCGAGTATGTTTTTAAGAGGTTGTGGGTTTTGCACAGCAAGCTGAAGAAGCAGAGATGGTAGAGAGGTCAGTTTCCAAGTGTGAGATGTTTTGGGGGCAGGATGCAGCAAGTCTCTCCCAGCCCCACTGCCACTATAGCCATAGAGTGCAGGGCACTGGAAATGGCAGCTGGCTGCTTTGTAGCTAGACTTTGGCAGAGCTGGAGAAAAATTTATGCATTGGATTTCTAATTTCAGATCACCCGGAAAGAGCTGCTCTGCTGTTTGTGTCCAGTGTTTGTGTGGGATTAATCCTCACGCTGTGTGCTTTGGTGATCCGCGTGTCCTGCTTTAAAGACTTCCAGAAACTGCGGGGAAAGAAGGAGCACTTGGTGCCAGAAAGTGATGGAGTGGATGAGAGCAGTGAGAGCGAGGAGGAGGAAGATGAAGACTCCTCTGGGTCAGAGCTGCCAGACGAGCTGGCAGAACTTTATAGACCTTCTTACTCAGGTTATAACTCAGCGGAAGCAGCGGACCTGGCTGAGCGGATAGAGCGGAGGGAGCAGATCATGCAAGAAATTTGGATGAACAGTGGTTTGGATATGACACCGCCCAGAAATATGAACACCTTTTATATCAATGAGGAATAATGGCTTATCTCAGATGATGCTCTCGCCCTTTTTTTTTTTTTTTTTTTTTTAAAAAGAAATGTACCTTCTGTGAAGGAACATTTGTAACAGTACAGATAATTATTTGTAAAGTAAGAAGAAATACATACAATAAAAAGAGAGTTTCAAGCCCTTCACTGTCCATAAATCATTCTGTGGAAAAACACATGCATAAGCTTTCATAGCTTGCTTTTCAATGTCATTTGGGATCAATTGCCACATGAGGTTTATGAAATATTAGGAAAAGGAGGAAAATAGCAGAGAAGTGCGAGGTAGAGAACAGCCTTCTGCATTAGGGTATGGCACTTGTAACCAGTTGGTGTATTGCAGCTCATAAATCACTTAAGTATGTGCTGTTGATGAGAAATATGTTATTAATAGAAAGAGCAGAACAGAATTAAACACAGGTGCTTGAAGCTGAAGCCTCATTAGAACATACAGGGAGTGTGAAAAAATAGTGTCCCCTCAACATCTGTTTGGCTGCCCTGGCATTCCAACAGCCATCACATTTTCCTCTGAGGGAAATGTTTGATCATAGAATCATAAAATAGCCTGGATTGAAAAGGACCACAATGATCGTCTAGTTTCAACCCCCCTGCTATGTTCAGGGCCACCAACCAGCAGACCAGGCTGCCCAGAGCCACATCCAGCCTGGCCTTGAATGCCTCCAGGGATGGGGCATCCACAGCCTCCTTGGGCAACCTGTTCCAGTTTGCCACCACCTTCTGTGTGAACAACTTCCTCCTAATATCTAACCTAAACCTCCCCTGTCTCAGTTGAAAACCATTCGCCCTTGTCCTCCCTCATAAACAGCCATTCCCTCTCCTGTTTATATGCTCCCTTCAAGTATTGGAAGGTCACAGTGAGGTCTCCCCGGAGCCTTTTCTTCTCCAATCTAAACAAGCACAGTGCTTTTAACTGATGATTTTGATGAACTCAAACTTATATCAGCATATTAAGGACATTCCCTTCTTAAGGGAAATTCTGTGTTAATTTTTGGTGATTTTAAAGCATATTTTAGAGCCAACATTTGACTTATGGTTATAGTCTGAGGACTTCTATGGAAGTTCATTTCTTCAGACCAGTTGGGTTTGGTGTGGTGCTGTCAGACAGAAAATGAAATCAGGAATGTATCTAAGCTGAAAACGCAACCTTTCTGCCTTTAAATAAAATGTCTGCAATATTTTAGCTGCAGCCCACTGGGAATTCAGCAAACAAAAGGAGGAAAAATGTCACTTCCTATTGGTAAGAATTCATGAGCTCATTGTGCTTTCCCACTTTGACGCTGTGCTTTAGGGCAGCATATCGTATGGAACGCATGGAAAGAAAGAAGTGACACAGCTCGTCATTTCCTGCCTATGCCAAGACAAACCTAAGCATGGGAAAGCTTCATCAAGAGGAAGGGACCCACTCCATGACTAAGGTGCAATTGTGTGCTCAACTGGAAAAATCTCCGTGCTGATTGGCGGAAGGAAGAGGAGACTGAGCGGAAGGAAGACGGACTGAGGAGCGGTGCGAACACTGAGCATGGGCTGCTATTTCATCCTGTCCGTGAATTTTCTGAGTTGAAGTGGGGAGGAGAACTTTCCAGGTCCAACTGGGGAAAGCTATCAATTAGTGCTTCGTCTTGTGCCCATATGTTCACTGCTCGCAGTGGTGTGGAAGTCAGAGTGAAAGCAAGCAAGAAAACTCAGAAAAAGACTAAATTATTTTGGTCCCTCTGAAATAACACCTTCTGTAGAAAAAAGCATCCAGCATGGAGAACAAAAATGAATGGGTTATGTGTCTGGCCACCCAACTTGACCATACATTTTATTTCATGGACAAGTACAGTGTATGCCCATTAAAGACAAGCAGTGATGCAGTGACCCACACTGATTTCAGTGTCAGGACTGTGGTAAGAAGCAGTGGGGTTTTGCTTGCTGTTAGTGGAGTGGATGACCTGAGAAAAAAAAGCAGAAATACCACAGCCAGTATCTGCCTTCCTTCCAGGCTGAGGGCAAGAATACAGTTTAAGAGGGTTCTGCAAGTCAGCAACAACAGTGAGGAGTGAGAAGGACATTTCAGAGCATCAAAAGATAATGGTCCAGCAATAAAATTCTTGCAGTGCCCAGAAAAGCAGCCCAGGACTACTGCAAGGGAGACTTTGCAGGCCGTGTGGCTGGCTCTGCATGAAAGCAGCTATCAGGCTCAGGCTACTCACATGGCTGTGGGAATGACACGCATGTGAAAGCGATACGAGCCAGCATCAGCCCTGAGACTACAACAGCAGTGAGACTGTTTTAGTTCTCCACCACTGTTTTCAAAACAACCCAGAACTTACCAGCAGCAACCCCTGCACTGAGGCAAGTGGTAAATCAACCCTCCTGAAACTCGCTCTGAAACTCTCCCTTTCTCTCAGTAGTCACCATGGGCCACGTATACAACGCTTACATGGCTGCAGCCCAAGCTCCCCAGCTGGGCCCTGGCAGTGTGTAGCAGCAGTGCCTGTGATCAGCAGAGCCCAGCACTGTCCGGGGTGCGGCCAGGCTGAGGGCAGCAGAGGTGGTGTGGGCAGGGCTGGGCAGGAGGGAGAGCATGAAGGGCCTGGGAAAGCAAAGCCCTGCGTGGGTGAGCAGGGAGTAAAGGACCGAAAGTGTGCATGGAAACCTTTGCATTGGCACTGCCTGCATGCGGGAAGCCTAAGGGATACCTACCTAACTGCAAGCGTCCTGTTACGTGCAAGGTGTGCGGTCATGCAGAAAAGTCAAACACAAACCAAGGCAGGGGATTTTGTATCAGTTGTGAAGTCATCTGTGATGTGTTTTCTTGGGCTCACAAAGGAAGGCTGACCTTCAGGCCTTGCTAAAGTAAGCAGAAGTCCAGCCAGAGAGATTTGGAGCCCTGCAAAGCACTACCAGGGTTTTCCTCGGAAAGCCAAATGCCAGCCTGGGAGCAGAAGAGTAACGCACAGAATTTGTCAAGGTACGGTCCTGATGTACTGCCCAAGTCAGTGCCTGTGATGTCCCATCCAACTGGTGCTCATCACACTGTGGTTCTGCAGCACTGAGGCATTCCCTGCTCTGCTGCCAAGGGCAGCTTTCCAGCATCATGGAAAACTGCAGAATTTGTGGCTTCTCATGGAGAGAGAGCAAAATCCCAGTTGGAAAGCTTCAGTCAGAGCTTGCACCTTTGTTAGACAGCCAAGTCAATCAGCCTGAGAAACTTGGTTATGTTCAGAGACAACAGAGCTGCCTCTTCTGGTTTTCTTTTTTAACATCTGAGTGCTCTGGACACAGCAACGTGTAGTGGCTTTGGAGCTGGATCGTGTTTGAAGCAGGGCCCTGCTCAGTGTGCGGTAGGACCAGCACACCTCCAGGGGTCCTCCCAACCTCAGCAATTTTGTGAGCCTCCCAGCAGCTCTGACCACAGCTCTGATCACAGCACGCGGAGTTGCAACAACTGCAGGTTCAGGCCTTGTGATGCTGTGCATGTCCCTACTGCTCCGATCTACCCTAAGCAAAAAATTCAAGATGGAATTGCTAAGAATATCCCTTTGGTGAAATGTCCATTTCTGAATGAGGGAAAGGCAGGAAGAAGCAGAGCTCCAAAATGGTGACTGGTCATGGCACTGTGGAAAATTCTGGGCTAAATCCTAAACTACATGAATTTTTGCTATAAAAAGAAGTAGAGCTGGTATGGAACAGTATAGCTGTGCCCACAGCCCCTGCATGGGGATGGTGCAGCTGTATGCTGATTACTGGGGAAAAAAATCCCTCACAATTGGGTTTGACTACACCATTATAGATATTTAATCATTGCTGGCTGGACTACTCTGCCTTTATTGAGAGCTGCTCTCACAGACCTAATCCTTGAAATACAACAATAATTGCCTTTTTTTCTTTTTCCTTAAGGAAGTGCCAAATTTCCTATTTTTGCTATGAACTTCCTCAGTTTGAAGGCTACTGCACAAGACATACTAACACAATGTGAGGACAAGCACTGTCCTTGACACAACAGGCAGGCGGCTTTTGGGTAAGGTGCTGCTGTGGCCAGTGCAGGGCAGATGGGACCAGGCTGTTCCTATCACCTGCTGTACCCTGGATTGGGTGGAGGGCAACTCAGAGCTCCTGCTCTTGATGGCTCCTAATCACAGCCAGTCCTTGTGCCATTCCCAATTGCAGTCAGGCAATTCAATTCATTATGGAATCGCTGGGGTTATAGATTGGTTGAGGTTAGCAGGAACCTCTGGATCCATCTGGCCCAACCCCAGCTCCAGCAGAGACACCTCAAGGAGGGTCCCCAGAGCCATGTTCAACAGGGGTTTTGAAGATTTCCAAGGAGGAGACTCCACAGTCTCCAGGCAACCTTTGCCAGTGCTTTGTCTACTGCACAGCACAGAAGTGCTGCCTGGTGATCTGACAGCACAGTGGGTCTCCTCCTCTGGCCCCATCAGGTCAGACCTTTGCCAGCTCCTCCCAGCTGTTGAGGTTGTACAGAGTGGGAACACAGGCTACACAAGAGCACAACATCAGCACTGCCAAAAGCATCAGCTCCAGCTCCCTGCATCCCATGGGCCTCTACATCCAGTAGGGGATCGATGTCTATGTTCCCTCTGCAGCCTCTCCCACCACCACACATCCTGTCATCCCTTCTGCTGCTTGGAGAGCCCACAGCAGTGCATGATGTAGGCTGCAAGGAGGAGAAAACAGAGAGGGAAAACAATCAGAAAATCAATTTTAAAATTCACTGGCTGTGTTAGGTTCAGGCCACTCCATGACTTTGCAGTACAACTGCCAACCCACAGCTCCCTGGTGGCTTTTGTCCATGGCTCTCATGCAGTAGAACGAAGCACAAGAACACACTTGCAGAAGTCACAGCAATTCAATGCAGGGGCGAGAAATGGCCATGAGGACCTGCTTCTTCTTTCAAGGCGGAGCAGGCCTTGCTCTGTCTCACTGCAAAATGCTCCTTCACAAGGAACCCTCAGCCTGTGCCAAGGACTACAGTTACATTACCAACTGCCACAATATGCAATATAAATTTCCACTAATCAGAGTAGCAATATGGCCACAAAACAAACATTTTAGCCAAGCTGCACTGTATGCGGCCTTTGACAGATAACTGCTTTTACCTCTAGAAGGGCACCTTATCAACCTCCCAGAAATTAGCAGTTTAGAAAGAAGATAAAATGCTTTTACAAACCTAAGAGCAGGGTTCATATCACATAATTCTGATTCTTTGCAGCAGATCTTTAAATGCCTGTAGTCCTGTGCTTTGTTCTAATGCTCTTTCATCTTTTTCCAGTAAGTTCATTCAATTTCAGTTGTAACAAACGAGTGTAGTGGCTCTATGGATGCTATTGTGAGCACTACGAGAGCATTGTGTGAGCATTAAGAAGGGAGAACAACAGTCAAAGGTATTTAAAACAAAATGCAGTTTCTTCTGTGTTAATTATTTCCTATACCAGCTTTTCCTCACGCTAAGAAAGGAAATGACAACACTACCACATAATCAAACGCCTCCCTCAGAGATCAGAGCCCTCCATCTCATGTAGTTGAGAAGGATCTTTTTCACTGAAACAATAACTCTCAA